TTCCTCCTAATTTTACCAAAAAGCAAGCATCAACAAATGCTTCTACTGCTGTTGATACACAGGCTGTAATGAACAATGTATCAGAAGGTTCTCACAACAATTCAAGTGTCAGCATCACTCAAGAACAGTATGCTCAATTGATTGGTTTGTTACAACAAACAAATTTTCTGCCTCCTAACCTTACCCCAAATCCAACTGCCAACCATATTTCCACTCATCCTGGTCATACACCAAATGAGAATTCAGGTAAAAGTTTTGTTTCTACAGTCTCCTGTTCCACTTACACAAAAACTAATTTTTGGATTTTGGATTCTGGTGCCAATGATCATGTTTGTTCATCTCTTAAATTGTTTAGTAGTTACCACAAAATTCAGCCTGTCAATGTTTGTCTACCTAATGGATCTGTTGTTCTAGCTAAACATGCAGGAACAATTCAGTTTTCCCCTCACTTGCAGCTTAATAATGTGTTGTACACACCTGATTTTTCCCTAAACCTTGTGGATCTTCCACCTCATGTCAAACCTATTGGTTGTCGTTGGGTTTACAAGATCAAGCATAAATCTGATGGAACCATAGAAAGATTTAAAGCTCGACTTGTTGCTAAAGGATACAACCAGATTGAAGGACTTGATTACTCAGATACTTTCTCACCTGTTGCAAAGCTCACCACAGTTTGCTTGGTTCTAGCCTTAGCTTCAATCCATAATTGGCATCTTCACCAACTCGATGTGAATAACGCTTTTCTTCATGGTGATCTGCATGAATATGTCTACATGTTGGTCCCACCAGGTGTCTAAACTTCCAAACCTAACCAGGTTTGCAAACTCATTAAATCTCTTTATGGACTAAAGCAGGCAAGCAGACAATGGTTTGATAAAATAACTTCAGTCCTCACTGCTCATGGCTATTCTCAAGCATCTTTTGATCATTCACTCTTTGTTAAACAAACACCATCCACCTTTACAATCTTACTTGTTTATGTTGATGATGTTATTTTAGCAGGTAACTCTCTACAAGAGTTTTAAAATGTGAAAAATAATCTGCATCAGCTTTTCAAGATCAAGGACTTGGGCATTCTCAAATACTTTTTGGGTTTAGAAGTGGCTCACTCAAAATGTGGTATCACCATTTTCCAAAGAAAATACTGTCTTGATCTTCTCAAAGATTCAGGTTTTCTTGGCTCCAAATCAGCTACCACACCATCTGATCCATCCTTTAAACTTTGCCAAGATGACAGCCTGCATATCATGATATTCCATCTTATAGACGACTCATTGGCAGATTGATCTACCTCAACACTACACGTCCAGATATCACATTTATCATACAACAACTCAGTCAATATCTTTCCAACCCTTCTACTCAACATTATAATGCTGCTTGCAGAGTTTTGCGATACCTCAAACAATGTCCAGGCCAAGGCTTGTTTTTTCCACGAAGTTCATCACTACAACTCACAGGTTTTTCAGATGCTGACTGGGCTGGTTGTATAGACACACGTAAATCCGTTTTAGGAACATGTTTCTATTTGGGCAGCTCACTCATTTCATGGCGAACAAAGAAACAAACCACTGTTTCTCATTCATCTTCAGAGGCAGAGTATCATGCTTTAGCTGTAGCCACGTGTGAACTCCAATGGCTTTTGTACTTTCTTCGTGACATGCAAATTACATGCTCTCAAGTCCCAGTTCTCTTTTGTGATAGTCAAAGCGCATTACACATTGCTGCTAACCCTGTTTTCCATGAACGTATGAAATATCTTGACATTGATTGTCACATTGTACGCGAGAAATTTTCAGCAGGCATGATGAAACTTCTTCCCGTGTCCTCCAACAACCAACTTGCTGATTTCTTCACCAAAGCTCTCCTACCCACACCATTTCAATTTCTCAAAACCAAGTGGAACTTGATAAACATCTACCAAAGTTCAACTTGTGGGGGGCTAATAGATGACATAAGCAATAGTTAGTTACATTCTGTTAGAGTTTGTTACATTCTGTTATAGTTTGTTAGCTTCCATCCAACTATATAGTTGATGTAATCCTCATTCAATGAATAAGAGAAGATTGCACTGTTATTCATCTTCTTTCTCTTCTCTTTAAGCTTCCTTGCCACTCTTCAATAACTTTCATATGTGAAGCATAATAATGCATAACACCATGAACAAGAAAAAGCTAATAGTGCTCAGGAAAGAATTCTAACCTGCTTTTTTGCGCAGTCTGGTTGTCCTTTTATTTCCCAAGTGAGACTCACAACAGCCATTATCATGGCACAATAATGATGATATATCCACCTGTAACAACATAGTATGGTTATTTTCTGAAGGATTTTGTCCCATGTAAACCAATGAATGACAAATTCAGCTCTCCCACGTCCCATCATGCTTTACAAAGATGATAATTTTAGCATGCCAAATAAATAAATATAAACACGTTATATTTTTCATTTTTAAACATGTGGGAATGCCAAATTATTACCAATGTCGGTGTCGTGTTTCCGGTTTGCATGCTTCATAGCCACAAAACTTCTTAATGGCAGAGAGCAAACAACATTAAACAACAACAATATTAATAGTAACTTACTGAATTCTCATCATCCTCTTGAAGTGATTGTATAAGCGTCTTTCTGAAAACCTCTAACTGCATGCATTTACACCAAGTTATCATAAATCCAAAACTCATACACATAGCATAGTGCAAACAAAAAATATACCAAAACAATTAAATTTATCATCCATGTCCCATTTCATTAAAATATATAAAAAAAACTGCAAAAATGGATTACTATAATGAAAAGAGGGACAAAATATGAACTAGGTGTGGAAGAATAAGAGATTGGGATACTCACTAGAGCTTTGAACTGAGGGAGCTGCTACTTGGTTTTAGAGTTTTAGTTTTTTTTGGGGTAGAAAAGGTTTTAGTTGGTTTGAACAAGTGAATAAATAAAACTATTAGAAACATGCATGTAAAACCTATATAAAGATGTCCATACAAAAAATGAACATCATAGAATTGATAGGAACACATCATCATGCAAATATGTCGGAACTGTAGAAATTAGAAAGTCTTGTAGAGCTGGTTTAATTTCTAACAACATTATGGTGATCAATTACCTTGCCAAAAGTGTTTGTCGATAATGGAGCAATGACCATGATATCAGCCAAATTGTGAAGCTCAATGTGAAGCACATTATCTCCTAGTTTCTTCCAACTAGAATATTCATCGTTGTCCGTATACAAAATCACATCCTTGAGAATCACTGTTCTGTCAATAAAATACAAGGATGGATTTGTGGCAACTGCTCTTACTTCAGCCCGTTCACAGAAACATTGACAAAGATTTGCAAATTTAATAGCAGCAACACTCCCACTAGTAGCAAGTAAATCCTATGCTTCGTGGGTGCAGCAGCCACTGGCATATTATCTCCCACTGAACTCACAGGTTTCGAGCAGGCCATCATCAACCAAAATTTTTAACAAAGATCTTAAATATCCACCATTCAAACAGGAGTTTCAGCTTACCATGTGCTACTATGCCAGACAGTTTCAAAGATGACGTCAACTTCACAATCTACTTAAACAAATGATTCACAATTTATGGAATCGCTCGATTCGGTGGAGTCCGCTCTTCCAAAAACTATTCAAATGGGTGAACACAAACAAGCTACACACCACTCCCCTGCTAGAAACCACAGACTCTCTTTCTCAAGCTACAACATCGAAACAATATCATAATCATTCAGAATAATTAACTATTTGTTTCTCTGAGGTATTTAATCGAACATCTAACATACATGTCAATTATAAGAGCAAAAAATATCAATTCTAGTATGCTTAAGAAATGTATGTGCTTTCCTTCAAAATAGTGATTCTGAAGCTTTAAAGAGAGACAAAGATTTGAAGTTAAAGATGCACAATGTTCTTCTCATTAAGATGGTAGAATTAGAATCAGGTTGACTCATTAAAGAAATAGTATTACTCTCTTCTTGAATAACCATAGAGTACACTTTGTTGATGGATGGTAAAGGATCAAGTAGCAAAACCTGAGTTTTAATAACAGAAAATTTTTCATTCAAGCTCGTTAGGAATTGTATTATCTGATCTTCAAGACGAAATTCTCTAGCACTACGCATAGCATCACATCTGCACTGTTGAATACAAGTACATGTAGGAATTGGTCGATGAGAATTCAATTCTTCCCATAGTCCACGAAGCTTAGTGAAATAATCAAGAACATATTTGTTGCCTTGTTTGAGATTGTTAATTTCAGCACGCAAATTGGAGACACGAATTCTATCAGTTTTGACAAATCTTTCTTTGAGATCAATCCAAACATCAAGAGCATTTTCCAAGAAAATAATTGTTTGTGCGATAGCAGGACTTACAGAATTGAGAATCCATGAGTGAACAAGACAATTGCATCGTTCCCACGCAGAGCGATTAAGATCGTTGATACCTGGAACGCGAATGGATCCGTTGATGAACGCAATCTTGTTCTTAGCTCCAAGAGCTCTTTTCATGGATCTTGACCACGAAATGTAATTCGAACCATTCAGTTGAGGTTGAATGCTAACAGAATTGGGACCTTCGCTAGGATGAACGTAGTAAACCGAATCAACATCACAATTATTGATTCGATTTGCAGTAGGATCATTGCGCGGAGGCATGCTGAAATCAGAGAAAAGATAACACCAGTGGAGAAACCACAAGAGTGGAGGAGAAAACAATGGTGCGGAAGTGTGGAAAGAGGATCAAAAACGATGATACCATATTATGCTTCACATATGGAAGCCATTGAAGAGTGGCAAGAAAGCTTAAAGAGAAGAGAAAGAAGATGAATAACAATGCAATCTTCTCTTATTCATTGAATGAGGATTACATCAACTATATAGTTGGATGAAAGCTAACAAACTATAACAGAATGTAACAAACTCTAACAGAATGTAACTAACTATTGCTTATGTCATCTATTATGCATCTATCATATATATCTCAATAATGCATGCAGAGAGGTGTACAGTTGTTCCTACAGTGGGCTATGATGCAAGGAGTTGCAATGCTTTTGCAAAATAGATATCAACGACAGAGACTTTATACTCGTATTGCATTGGGAAAGGTGCCACTGTTAAATAGTATATTTTACTTGCTTTATTTTTCTTTTTCTTGTTGTATTTTAGCTTCACATACTTTTTTCCACCATCATGCTATTTTGTTACATTTTAGTGTAGTTACGGCTCTGCAGTCTTTTGTTAAACCTGATTAAAGTTTTCTTTTTCCCTATGGCATTAATTTTACAGTTAACTCTCTCCAAGCATATTAATTGGAAATAGGTACGTGGTTTTGATTCTCGTTTTTCTCTGTATTATAGGCTAAGAGGATGGATGTTGCATGGGGGGAAACGGCTGGTGTGGATGGCCAACTGTGGTTGCTGTGTCCCATACTTTTCATATTGCAGGTAATTACACTGCATGGCAACTTACAACATATGTCAGTTACTCAAGTTTTTGGAAAATTACTCTTTTGGTTACAATTGTTTGAGCTGTGTGATTTGGTTCCTCTATTTTTTTTTGAGCAATTTTAATCCATCTCTATTTTAAAAACTAATCAAATATGGTTCCACCAAATCCCTTAAAAGTCTCATTTTTATTTGTAAAATATCTGGAAATTCCTAGTGGATTTGAGTTACAAATTTGATAAAGTAATAAAGTAGTATCAAAAGTTTGAATCTACTCCCTTCCCTTTTCCCTTCCCTATATTTATTATTCTGACTACCTGAAGCAGTTACATAACAGTTACTGCACACACAATATTTAATAATAGTAATAAAATAAACGGCCTATTACTAACCGATTTTATATTTCAATTGTCAGGTTTAAATCTGTTTAAATAAATATTTTCATGTTTTAAGGGTAATAATATTTAAAACCATAATTTCATTTTATAGATTATGATAATTTCTTTTTATAGATTATGATATTTTACTCAAGGTTTAAATCTTCTTTTTTTGGTGTTAGTACGAGGCGTTTTTGTGTGTGCAATGTTCATGTTTCTTTAATATTGTTGATTTCTCTTTCGTGATTTCATTGTGAGTGATGGTTAATTAGTTGAGAAGCATATGTCGGGTTTTTTGCTGGTAAAAGTGTGATTACTTCATACATAAATTGATGATACACACGTTTTCAAATTTATTGTTCTAGCATTGTATGTTATTAAGTTTTACTTCATGAAAAAGTTTGGACATTCATCATCTGTATTTATGATCCTATCTTGATTCAGAGATTTGAGGCATATGTTGGACTATTGTTGCTCTATACTGCATTTGCTGGAGAGATTTCTGAATGGCAGGTATGCTCCTGCTAGCTTTTTTACTTATCAAAATTTGACTAGGAACACATGAAAATGAACCCGGTTCAAGTGCTATTGTTTATTGCAAAGGCTAGCCTTATAATGACAGTAACTCTTCGGATAGGTAATATTTTGCGGTCTTCTGTTGGTCGTAATGGCTATTGGAAACTTTGAAAATACAGTGGAGACTCTTTTGGTAAAGTCAAGATTTAAGGCAAAGATGAGAAGAACCAAGAGCAAGCAGAGACTGGATTGACTGAGTCAAATGGAGGATCTTGGTCTAAATCATTCTCAACGAAATAACAGGTGGTATTTACCATTGCGGCAATCCTGAAAACTGCTATGTATATCGTCATTGCGGCCATGGCGCCACAATTTGATAACACTGCTTACTCATATATAATAGTTAATAAAAAAGATACTTTATTTTATATTCAGTACATGATATCAATGATTAATTTTTGGATGATATATTATTCATATTTGATAGTTGTGAATATATATGATGGAAATAACTTCATTTCTATTATTCGAAATTATTTTGAATATAAATTAATTGACCATGTTTTATGTGTCATATTATAGATATTTACATTTTTTTAAAATGTGTGATTTCTTTCTTCTCTAATCTCATTTCCTTCTCTTGGTAAACAACATTCAATTTATCTTGCACTTTACGCTCAAGTTTACCAAAACATGGCAATATTAACGGTTGACGGAGTCTCAGCTTTACCCAATAACTGCCTCACTCTTTTCTATTGGTTTTTAGCTGCAGCCATAGTGATTAACCTTATTCGGGACTTGGTCGGAAAGAAATACGCCCACTTAATTCCTACTCCTATCGCTATGGCAATACCGTTTTATATCGGAAGTTATTACACCATCGACATGTGTGTTGGAACTTTGATAATATTTGTTTGGAAGATTCGTGATAACACTAAAGCTGATGCATTTGGATATGCGGTTGCTTCTGGTTTGATCTGCGGAGATGGAATTTGGTCAATTCCTAGTTCTTTTCTTGCTTTTTTTAAAGTGAAGCCACGTATTTGCATGAAATTTTTATCTTAGAGCTGAAAATGCTAGATATATTAGATTCTGAAGAAGTGTAAGTTGAAAGCATATATATTATTTTTCAATCTAAAAAAAATGGTTTGATGGAAATGTTTGTTACTGTAATTTTATTTTCTTAAGAAAATGCTATCAAATTTTATGTTAGCAAATCACAAACCTATATACATACAAATTTTTTTACTTATGTATATCATGCAACAACAGTATGAGTGAAATGCAGTCTGGAATTAACACACTGATTTCAATGACTTGTGCAGGTTGCTAATGGCTTTGTTGAAGAAGATGCACATTGAGGAGTGAAGTTGTATAGAAATGTTATTCATCAGTCTTTGTGATTATTGATGTATAAGATATATCTCAATTCTAGAGTACAAGATATATAGGAGTTCATAGTGGTGCATTCCTAGATTTTAGCCATATTCCACTGGTTCTCGCTAAGTATTATGTCAAGTATTCTGATCTGTGTTCCACTTGCTGCACTATATAAAAAAAAACATGATAGGCATTTTATCTTGTTTATGTCTTATTACTTTATATAAATTTTTGAGAATTGTGAAGTACTCATTTTCTGATTCTTATCCATGCTCCCTAAGTGAGTCTATTATTTTTTTACTAATTAACTATTTTATTTTATCCTTAACATGAAACAATAAATTGAGAATGTGTTAATATTCACTTCGGGAGCTGAATACTATATTGTTCTTTTAGATGCAATTCTCTTTCTTCCGACAGTCTTTTGTAAATGACAAAATTTTTGCAGCATCATAGTATCCAAATTCCAAATTCTGTGGTACAGTCACTGCAATCAAGAATATAATAACCATTGAATCACCACTCTCCACAATTACATGATTTTATTTCAAAAGAATATTTACAAAATCCTGTAAAAATTTATTGTCAATAAAATCATGTAATTGTGGAGAGTGGTGATTCAATGGTTATTATATTCTTGATTGCAGTGACTGTACCATGAGGAGCTGTAAGGGAAAGAGAAAGGTGGACGCCGTCATACCAAAGAGTGGAAAGAAGCGCAAACCAACAAAGACTAAAAAGGGAAAGAAGGAGAATGCAAAGACAAATATGGTAATAGATATTGAAACTTTATCACAAGCACCACAACCTACACTATTAAATTTGGCATGTTAAATTGTCTTAAACTATGTTAAATTTGCTTTGTCTAATTGTGGTAAGCTTGGTCTATCAAACGCTGTAGAACTATATTATATTTAGTTTGTCAAAATGTCAAATTGTAATTGATTTTTTTAATAATTAATGGAATTAACTCACGAGAGCATAAGGAGTACCACAAACCCTTATACAAAAAATAATGGCGGAAATTACTTCCGCAACATACAACACAACAGACACGAAAACCACTCATAAAAATACACGAGTGATCCGAAATGCACGTAGAATTGAACCACCTCCAAGAAAAAAACTTAATTCAATTGACGATTTCTACTACGCTATATGGAACAACTCTAAAAATAAAGTTGTTCTACTCTTCCAAATGCACCAAACCGAAAAAGCCCATATAGAATTACCAAGAACATTGTCCACCTTTTTCTTCAAACTTTCGTTGAAACTTACAAAAGATGCTGCACAGTTCGGCTTCCTCTCGACATCTATGCCTAACCAAATCTCTACACAACTCCAATCTTTAACTGCGAATGGACAATTCATAAAAATACGGAAGAGGATTCAGTTGAGCCAACACACCCTGTGCACAACAATGTATCGTTGCCAAAGTTAATTTCTCTCTTATGCAATTGTTCTCTAGTTGCTAACTTGTCCCAGAAAAGTCTCCATAATAGAATGTGAACTTTCAAAGACATTTTCGAAGACCACATAATCTTCAATGCTTTAGCTGTACCACAATCCAAAGTTGAATCCAAACCAGCCTGCAATAACATGTTATAACCAGAGCTTATATTTCATGTAGTTAGTGCTACCAAAATTAAATGAAAGTTGATGACATTTTTAAGTTTATGTTTCATGTTGAGTTAAATTGTGCTAAGTTTATACTTAATGTTGTCGAAATTAACTTTATGGCATTGAACAACAACATGTAACATATACATCATTTTCATTCAACAATAGAATGTTACTACATAGCTTACAAACAACTCATTTATTAGAGTAATTCATTACAAAATAATACATTAAGCATGGAAAAAATAGAACACTAAACTAAACTAAATCAACTAAGTCATTACATTTGATACAACTAATCCAATTAACAATAAGAATGGCCTGAGCAAATTAAACTTGATCATCATCTTCAAAAAACTGATCTTCATCTTCATTTTATGCTTGTTGACTTTTGCATTATTCACCTTTATCTTTTCTTGATTTAAATTTTGATGTAGGGAAAAGATTAAATCCTTAGATCTTGAAGTCATTTCTTCATCATACCAAACAAAATGATTATAAATCTTATATCCATGTAGTTTAAATTCGAGAAGAAGAATGAATGATTTCTCAAAACATAACACACAAGCTCCTGGAAAACTAAAATCTACCAATACCTTATACATCTCACAACCATAAAAACAATGACTTGGGTTTGAATTTTTCCATGTTGTCATCAATGGAGAATCGACTCCACAGTTGCATTCATCTTGAATTAGTCTTAATTTATTCAACCTTAACCTAAGTCACATTACAACCGTTAAACTGTGTATATGAAAATGATTTAATAAATTTTTTAGAAATTCTCCAAGCCTATGGTAAAATGATCTATGCATGTTGATTGAGTGAAAAAAATTTCATTTGATTAAATTGGTGAGAAGAGAGAAAAAAATTGAATAAATAAGGTGCAATAATAAAGTCTCTTTAATAATTCGTCTAGATGTTTAAGAATAGAAATGGAGAGTGACTAAATCGCGAGAGTACTTTGGTAAGAAGCCTCAACTTAGAAGATAAATTCCTATTTTTTCTTCTAAAATCTCATTTTTAAAACATTTTCCTTGAGGAAAAGTAAATGATCAAGTTTGAGATTGTGATGATAGTTTGTCACACTATGTTTTTATTAATAAATTTCACTATTTTAAGTATTTTTATTATTAATGCATTTCAATTTTAGAGGTTTTAAATAAAGATTCCAAAAATTATTGGAAAAGACGAACCAAGCTTTTTTTAATAATCAAGAAGTATTGCATTAGAAGGGAGTACTAGGGGTACTCCAACCCAATAAACATAATCCAACGGAACAAGCTCTACGACCAAATAAGGTTAATTACAAAAATCAAGAGGGCATTTTAGCCACTCTTAAAAAAAGCACCTTGGATAGTGTTTATGACTAATGGATAACCACCTCCAAGTGTACAAAATAATTCTAACAAATATGACGTCGGGATTATATATTTTGTTATCGAATAAAATATTATTTCTCGACTGCCAAATACACCAACATGTTGCAAACCAAATTGTGCACGTTATGTTCTACGAAAATTTCCTCAATATAACCACCGCCCATTCAAACAAGTGCAGAGTGCAATTCTATTCCAGCATGCACGGGATCCCGACCCAAGCTGCCACTTTCTTCCAAACCAAGACAATACGAGGGCAAGAGAAGAATAAATGATTAATTGTTTTCTCATACCCAAAGCAGAAAACACAAACCTTTTCGTGCGGATTAGAGATGATGTTTTTGCGAACAAGGTTGGATCGAGCTGGAAGACGGTTTATCACCATACGCCATGCAAAAATCTTTATTTTGTAAGGAATTTTTGTTAGCCAAACGAGATTCATTGCAGTTTTGCAATCATCCTCCAATGAGGGTGGATCTGAAGCGAGAATCGTAGAGTCATAGCAGGATTTCACCGTAAAAGTCCTACCATTATCTAACAGCCAGATGAAGGCATCGTGAGAACCACGGGCAAGCTGGACATCGTCAAGAATCAATAACAGATCAGCAAATTCCCGCTCCAATATACTGCCAGCCTCCAAATTTGCCACACCAATATTCCAAAGCCATACGTTTTCAACCAATGAGCCAAACTCCATGACAACACCGTTCTTGTTATCGGAAGCTAGAAATAAGTTAGGACACCAACATTATAATGAAGTACTGCCCAACCATCTAGATTTCCAAAACATAATGTCATCACTATAACCAAGCCTACCAACATTTTGAAATTCTCCTGCAGAGATAGAATTTCCAACAGTCAACAAATCATGCCA